ACAATCTAGGGGGATTTGAAATTTTGCAAGAGGGACGCATTTGCATATCTAAAGACATCGAAGCGTATCGTACGGTCACAAAGTGCACACGATGACGTAACAGGAACACGTATAATGATATCCTGCCACATGCCAATGCATTTTAGGCAGCGAACTGGTTCGCGTTTAATGTCTGTAAACAATTTCGTAACTGGAATATTTATAATATCGCGCTACCATTAGTAAGCACGTCGGCGATGGAAACAGTTGGACTAAACGAAGAGAACGATAGTCGCATGCTTCAATTACGACATGTATCTAATTAAAAGTTGCTAAATACAAAATTTATTGAGCTTCAACAAGGGGAGTGGAGGCATCTGGCATACGAGTGTCGGTCGAACGTAAGCCCAAATAGCATAACTTCGCAGATATTTTCTTCGAGCGATACATGTATACAGCTTGTTTGACGTTGCCTTTAATATTTCATACTTAATTAAAAATCGGAAAGAAAGTCTAATGCTACCACGTGGATATCTAGTGCCGAGAGTACTCATCAGGGCATTTAGCAGCGGGAGCACCCATGTGAAGCACCCATGTTTCCCTACCATTGGCAAATATTCGAATATTTTAATCAATAAATAGCACTTTTTTTCATTCGGGAATCATAAGCGCATCGCGTGCGTAATTATATAAAATAATTATATTAAAATAATAATTAATATTAAATAATTATAGTAAAAATGAAATGTCTGTTGAGAAAAAGATATTTACCTGAATGGTCGATGCTATTTCCGCCCCGAATCCGTTCGTTAGGGGTGCCTCGTGCGCGATCACAACGCGTCCCGTTTTCTTCGCCGACTGAAACAATTATGCGTTATATTAAATCGTTTGCATAATCAGACTTTTTTCAAGACTTCTATATTCTATTGTAAATCGCGTAACTATCGAAAAGGGGAAAGTAAATTGTACGTATAAAATATACGATTCTTGCAATCTTCATTGTAATTGGGTTAACGATGTTTTATGGAATGGTATAACAAAAAGACGCTTTACATATTTCGTATATAAGTACAGTGGCTCACAAAAATGCTCGTGTAATTATTGAAATGCAACAACATTTTTAAAACTGGACTAAGTGACTTGAATTTTTTTTTGGATTGTGTGTGTGTGTGTAGAGGAATGGTGAAAAGAGAGAGAGAGAGAGAGAGAGAGGAAAATAAGAAACTCTCGTTTCTTAATTTATCTTCATCTAATCTTATTTATTTATTTTCTCGTTTTTCAATTGCGATTTTCAGCATGCATATAAATTATCGAGATCCACGAAAGACATATTTTCAATTTTCATTATAGCCTCAGATAGAAATGTTAGAATCGAGAGTTTTTTACTTCTTTTTCTTTTGTCATTCCAAGTAATAGCAAAATTTAAGAAAGACATTTCGATCATTGTCTAGTATACCAGTTCCTCTATCACCTTAAAAAAGAAATTCCATCCACTTAGTCCAGTTTTAAGGAAGTTAGTGCGTTTTAATTGGTCTGCGAACACTTTCGCGAGCCATTGTATGTTAGAAACGAACAGTTGCGAAATTAGGATTAAGTGTATTTTGCGATTGTAGTCTAAATGATGTCGAAAAGAGCCATAAACCGGTATTTTCAACTTACGACACCTGGGACTAGAATATCTAGAATGTTATGTTCACGTGCACGTAAGAATAAATCATCGTATTTAATTGCTTCTAAAATTTGAATTTTTAACTTGTTGCGTGTAGTAAAAAATATTCCTATCATTATCGAAAGTGTAATGAGCGTGAAGTTTCCTGAATGTATTTAACATCCTAAACTAACACTTACAATTTGTGTTAACAGTCGTAATCGTTTTTTGATGTGCCCCCAACCAAAAATATTGATAATTTTACGATAATGGTGTTCTAGTATGTTTATTAACGTGAATATTTTTTTGTCAAAATATTAGAAAGAGTCACAAAGCTTAAATACCGTCGATGATTCAAGAAAACATGTAAAATATACAAATAGAATACAAATATATAAAATATATAAAATATATATGATATATAAAATATATAAAATATATAAGATATATAAGATATATAAGATATATAAGATATATAAGATATATAAGATATATAAGATGTATAAAATATATAAAATATATAAAATATATAAGATATATAAGATATATAAGATATATAAGATGTATAAAATATATAAAATATATAAAATGTATAAAATGTATAAAAAATATAAAATATATAAGATATATAAGATATATAACATGTATAAAATATATAAAATATATAAGATATATAAAAATATAAAATATATAAAAGTATAAAATATATAAAAATATAAAATATATAAAAATATAAAATATATAAAAATATAAAATATATAAAAGTATAAAATATACAAAAACATAAAAATGTATTCCCTAATTCTTTTGTTTACAAGCTGAAGGGAAATTGGAGCGAATTTGTATCTCGTTGAAGATCGTCAGTGGGTCCGCTGTAAATGACTGACGGGTTTCAGATGTTCGTAATTTCAAATGGAACAAGTTCCGTGCCGCGGCGCACACGCACAGACCACATTGAATACCCTAACACGTGTCAAGAGGGTTAATGCCATGTGCGAACGAACCACGGTACGGATCAATTCGTGAATGATTTATGCCCCGTCCCGTACGAGCCGGCATAACAATAATTTATACGCGACTTGACGCTAAGCGATGCATTAATACAACCGGCCGGACGAATCGTTTTGCGGCGAGCGTCGGTACCATGGGCGGTGATCGACGTTAGAAACGAGCGATCGGTGCTCTGTAATTAAGACACGTAGGCGCACCTGCGTGCGTGTCCCGTTGCAAATCGTTAGGAATGGTAACTCGATAATACGCATAACTGTGTGTAGAGCGGCGCGTACAGGTTAACTGTGACATTTCAGATTTCAGCTGACCTTCCACACACACGTCACGTCATGAAGTCACCGTCTGCGCCGGCTCTCGCTCTTTCTCCGTCCCCCATCCGCGCGACGTTCTCCAATTTCACAATTTTTACCATCGCTTTATTCCGGAACTATCGAACATGGCGAAAAACGATCCATTTCAGATGGATCGTGACGATGTTGTCACGGTCACGCACGATTACAGTAATGTCTCCCTTATTGACGCTTGGATGGATGCACAAAAATGGACAATTTGGGAAGAGGAGACGCGATTAATTTGAGCCTTGTGCCTCGTTTCATAGTTATTATCAACAAGTATAATATTATCATATAATATATAAATATATAATATTTATAATCATATAATATTATTAATATAATCATGTAATATTTTTATAATCATATTTATAATATATATAAATCAGATAATATATAATATTATCAACAAGTATAAAAACGAAGCACAAGACTCAAATTAATCGTATCTTCTCTTCGCAAATTGTCCAATTTCGTGCACAATCTGAGCGTCAATTGGAGAGACATTACTGTACTCGCAAAAGTAAGAACACAATATACCATTTATTTGGATATTTCAATAGTTGATTCATTGATAAACGTTTTTCCTTACAATCAACTATTTATCCGTGTTTCACACTGAACGTAAAAATCGTAAAGTCGTTTAAAATAGAGATATGAAAGGACAAATGTTACAATTAAATAAATTTATACAACAATTGAATAAATAATAACTTTTGAAATGTCAAACTTCTTGTTGAACGACAGAGATATAAAACTGGCAACAAAAATTTGAAGAAAAATCTATTTATTGTAACTTTTCAATCGAATTTTACAAGGCATCTGAATACTTATGTGCCATGGAAATTCGATGCCTTTTTTATATTTTTTTCAATTATGTAGATAAACGTTTTATACCAAATCAAATGTTTCTTGTATATCGACATTTATATTACTTTTAATACAGCATAAATGATTCCTTCCCTTCGATGTATATTTATTTAAATATATGGCATAGAAGTGAAAGATGGACACTAGTTTTCGAATAGTTTTGCGTGCAACTTTATGTTTTAGAGGATGCCTTATCGTAAAATATCAGAGAGTTCGTCGTAAATATTAGGTGTACCGGAAAGTTCTGTCCGATAGTGTCACTTTAAGTTTCAATCCATATGCACATGTTAATTTGAGACATATATGACTATCTCTCTTTATCATTGCATTTACACACATGTACTCTCCTAAATAAACTGAAACAAAGATGTCTCGTGTCATTATTAAGCGAGACGCGATCGTGAAAACATGGCTACCGATGAAAATGCCAGACCACATGCTGCTTCGGCGACTCGTCAGAAAATCGCAGAGCTTGACTGGGAAATTCTGTCGCATCCACCATGCTCCCCAGACCTAGCACCCTCCGATTATCACTTGTTTCTCTCTTTGCAAAACTTTTTACAGGAAAAAAATTCAAGACTGAAGCCGATATCAACCAAGCACTAGTCGAGTTCTTCGCCTCTAAAAATAAATCATTTTTTAAAAATGGCATTTACAAGTTGCCATCACGCTGGCAAGAAGTCATAAGTAACGATGGAAAGTATATTCTACAATAAATATTGTTAAATGTATGAAAATTGTGTTATATTTGAATTCAAAAACGAACAGAACTTTCCGGTAGATCTAATATATCATTTCGGTCGGACAATGTTTTTTACTGCTTTCGGGTGGGCCCACTGCGTGGCCTAAAATTGTTTACGAGCGACGATTTTTGAACTCGGGACCTTTTTTATTATGATTTACCCGCCGCACTTCTATAATTTATCCGCCTGCCTAATATACGATTTCGACGAGAAAATATTTGTTGGCATTATTCGGAATGAACGGCGCGACATTTGAGCCGTTTATTTTGAAAGTGGCATAAGTCACTTTGTTTTTAAGTCGATATATTTAAGAGTTTGCGTTTTAACACGTTTAAAGATATGGATGCTAACTTTCGAGAAGATTTACTTCTATTTGTTATCTCGGGATACTGATATTTTTTTCGGTATAAATAATTTCGTACAAACATTAAAAAATCACCACTTTTCATTACGGTAAAGTGACTTATGCCACTTTCAAAATAAACGGCTCATTTGACGAATGCGGTCCAGCCCGGGGAATCCGTAAACATAAACGTATCAAAATAATGCGAAACGGGTTTCCAATTACGGTCGCCATCTCTTGCGCGCGTTTTACGGTTCGCTCGCGTGCTCGCGCGAGAATAATGTTACGACGTGCAAGCCGCGAACGCATACCGTACAATCGGCGTATCATTAGGTGACTAAAGATCGATTAGCATAAATCAGCACGATATTTAGTGTCCGAGCTGTGCCGCACGGGCATCGTAATTCGGACGAGTGAATGTCGGCTTCGTTTGTTTTTTCGCTGTCGGCAAGGATGAAAAGACGTCGTCGGCCTTTGACATTTACATAGCGTGTCTCTATCGATAAACAACTACGTTTGTCGAATCTAATAGCATTACGAAGAAAGGAAAACCACGAGAAAACGATTTCGTTCGAAATCCAGCGAAAGTAATTCGTAGAAGCTTAATGGCGATGGCGATTACCGATAAACGTAAACAATTCCGGATTGGAATTTGCAGAGCGTCGGATACATTGGCGCGAAAAGCGGGGAAAAAATGATGTCTTCTGACGAAAAGCGTTTTAATTTAGATGAACCTGATGGACTAAATTATTATTTTGCTAATCCGAGGGAAGGAGAAATCGTGTGGCAAAGGCAGCAAATCGAAATATGCGCAACAAATAGCCATATATATAATAATATATAAATATAGTATATATATAAATAATATAATATATAAATATAGGCTATAT